GTGATTCTGAGGAGATGTTTCAACAAGAATTCAACAAGAAACAGAGTTCCGTGGATAATTTCAACCCTAGTACGATTCATCACAGAGCTTCAACCGAATTGATTGCCAAAAAATTGCTGATAATTAGAAAGAAATTCTTTAAAATACTCCATGGGGTTACTAAATAAAATTTCATAAAATTTCTGCTGCTTTGAATAGAAAATTTTGAAAAGAATTTCAAAGGAATGAAAGTCTCCGAATGGGTTTAAAGTAATTCTACGAAGGACTCCAATCGAATTCTTAGAAAGAGTTTCAAGGAAATTCCAAAAACAATTTAACGGTAATTATTGCTCGGAGTGTTTCTGGTTAATTTCAGAAGAATTCCAAGATAATTTAGAGCAGAATTTCAAGTTAATTCTGGAATTCATATCATCAGCATTTTGAAGCACGAGAAATTAAAACCCCAGAAAAAATAGTTTAGTTTTGGTTTTACAAATATTTGTTTCGAAAGTCCAGCATCTTCCATATTTTCCTTTCATGCCCATTACATCTGAAATTGAAACGACAAAAATCGATTTGAAATATTGCTGAGTGATTCAATTCTAAAAACAATAGGACGGGAAAGATAAGAAAATTATGCAGCAAATAAAGTAAGACATTCATTTGGTAAAGAATCGCTCTGTTTTAATTGTTTATTCTGAAATCCTGGTGTAAGCAATTGTTGCTGTGGCATGGTTAATTTATTTTCCCCGGTTCACTCTTCGAATTCCCGGGTTTTTCCCAGTTCGATGGCCACCCTGCAACTTAGCCTGGTGGCAGGATGGCATCGTTACTTTCTCTAGCTATGACCTGAGACGAATCCAAAGGAGTAGGTAGAAGCATCTTGTGCATCAAGAACAAAGAAGTAATGCATGCGGGGTCATAATGCGGACAGACGGATTTCCCAACTTTGCCTGGTGGCAGGATGGCATCGTTGCTTTCAAATGAAATTATCTCGTTGTCTCCGGTTGGCAATCTACAAGTCCTGTAGCTGAATTCCGGCACACAATTTCTTTGAAGATAAGAAAATTATCACGTTGAATCTCAATGAACCAAATCCCTTCGAAGAAACTGCGCGCCGGAGTTCAGCTGCTGGTAGGACCTTTTTTTCTGGATTTCTAGGCTGCAAATCGGAGACGAGGTATTGGTCAATCGTTTTCAATGTCCTCTACGCGAGGGGATATGAGTTGCTCCGTTTTTTTTTAGACAAACCAGCCACAATTTCATTGAATAAAAGAAAATTATCACGTTGAATCTCAATGAACCAAATCTCTTCGAAGAAACTGCGCACCGGAGTTCAGCTGCTGGTAGGACCTTTTTTTTTCTGGATTTCTAGGCTGCAAATCGGAGACGAGGTATTGGTCAATCGTTTTCAATGTCCGGGGATATGAGTTGCTCCGGTTTTTTTTTAAACCAACCGGCCTTTTTTCGCATCTCACGTATCACAAAATGACATTGGAGTTGGACATGGTTCACCCCAGCTGCTTGCCCACATATTGCAACAGCTGTTGAAACTAAAACAAACAAACTAAACAAATTCCCGAATTTGAGAAAAGTAAAGATTGGATTCACTCAGTCTGCTGGTCGAGAGTGAATAAAATTTTCGTCCATTTCCTCATTTTACGGCAGATTTTTTATGTTTTCCACAGGAAACCATGAGACAAATTTTACTCATCGCTGAGTTCCTGCACTGTTGACGATTATGAGTGAACTAAACTCAAATTTGGGTCGTTCTCATTCGCCGTGCAGTGTTGTATATATACGGAAACAACGAAAACAACATTCAACACGACACATGAGCTGTCATTTGCTTCGGAAAAAGCTTTCACTAATACTAATCAAGCTCATGTGTAAAGTGTAGTGTGACATAAAAACGATCAGTTCGACGAGTTTCGATTCGGCCCTGATCGATTCTCTTCATCGACTTCAACAGTGAACATGCATAAGAGCGTATCCAGCTTTCCATGCTCGGTAATGGCGGCCTGTTTGTATGAATAAATGTATCCTTGACTGTGCTTTTTGACACTATCTGGATGTTCGGATTTTGATCCCTCCCTTTCTCTCTCCCAGGAACAGAAGAAAATGAAACAACATACGCCCTCCAGTTAGTGTCAAAAAGTACAGTGAAGGATACATTTATTCATACAAACAGGCCGCCATTACCGAGCATGGAAAGCTGGATACGCGATGATCGATTCTCTTCATCGATTTTCTCTTTGCATTGCTACAGCTAAAACGCTGTACAGACTGAAGAGTTATAACATTGGCGTTGCTCTTTCAGCAAATATAGACAGTTTCTTATAGAAATTTTCGGTGGAGTGAAAGGATAGTACAAAGTCCGCCATGTTTCACGCACAGTCTGACGTTTGCTTATGGATTTTCTCATAGGAGTAAAGAGCTACAGAGTCGCCGTCAACGCCAATAGAGGTAACTCTAAGACCACTGGGTCCCGAAGAAAATCATTATTATTTTTGGCTCACTCAGTACCAGAACAACGGTCCCAAGCAGTCCCAAGCTATTTCACTCACCCCTGCATGTTCTGCATGAATCCACACACCCCTGATGTTATCTGTCAAACTTTCATAGCGAATCAAAACAAACATAGTGTAGTAATAGAATTTCAACTAGAATAGGGTACGTTAATCGTTTGCTTGGGACCAATAGGCTACTAAAGTGGTGAGCCAATTTAAAATCGTTAGTTTCGTATTGATTGTTGGTTATAACATGTTATAACGGTTGTCAAATAATTGCAACACATAAACCACCATCAAGATAGCGCTATAACCCCTAACTTTTTTCATCAACAGAATTCCGCTAAATGATGTACAGAGCTTTTGTAGGTTTTGTTATTATCTACAACTTTTGTAAAAAACTCAAATCCGTATCCCCTAATAAAAATTGTATGGTTAATTTGCTTAACGACGTGTTCTGGGTATCATCCAAACCATTTGTTGAATAGTTCAATGATTTGGGTTATCGTTCGTTTATGGTTATTTTTTATTAGGGTCTCTTATGCATGACGAACCAGAGCAAACAGAATCCACTACTGTTTTTCAGTGAATGTATTTTACATTCACTGAAAAACAGTAACGAGTTCTGCCCGCTCTAATTCGTGATGCATAAGAGATACAGATTTGAGTTACCGGCAAAAGTTGTAGCTAATAAAAAAACCTACAAAAACTCCATACATCATTTTGCGGAATTCGGTTGATGAATAAAGTTAGGGGCAAATGAATGTAAATGAATGCATGAAATGAATGTAAATGATTTTCCATGCCTGCCCTTGCTTGTTAGTCGATTCAAGTGAATTTGAGGTTTAAAAAAAAATTAAAAGATATGATATCCGACTATGTTTGTTTGAAAAATATTCCTCTTCAAAAAATCCAAAAAAAAAACATTTAATATTTTTTTTCTAAGACCATGTAAGCAAACCACTGCCAGATGTCAAAATAAATTAGGTTAACCCGACGGTGCAGCCAAAGATGAATACTAAGATGAAACCAAAGATGAATACTAAGATGAAACTGTCGGAAGAAAAACTTTCTATTTTAGTGTCCTCTTTCACGGTCCCTTTCATCCAATGAATACCCCCCGTATTCAAGGTAATTTTGTGGTTTTGCTGCCCCCTCGGTAGAGATGGAATTTTGCGCCCATTTTTATCAAAACAATCACACCAAAATCATAGATGTCCCATTAAAATTTACAAAATCTGTGAAAAATTCAAAGTTGAGAAAATGTGTTACGAAAATTTACAGACATACTTCTGTTAACCCCGTTCAAAGATGAAAAATAAAATTTGGCGATTTTATCGAATCTTTACGAATAACGGTCATTTGAATTTTAACCGAGTTTTTCAGTAATTCAAAAACCCAGTAAAAAAATACTGTCTCCTGTAAAAATTCTAATGGTGGTAAGCTCCAACCGGTATTATCCTCGGATTAAATCCCGATCAAGAATGTCCGGCTGGTTTGATGTCGACATCAGAGTTAATCAACATAATTCTGAGCAAACATTTTTCAGATCATACAAACAGGGACGGTATTAAAAGTTAATCCGAGTTGGAGCTTACCGCCATAAGTGTGTATGGAATTTTCCACTGGCTTTTTAACCAAAAGTAAGTTAGTTGTACCCAACAGTAGGTGAATATCAAGCACAACATGTGAAAAGGGCATACAAGCTTTTTGTAAACAAACATTCTTATACTCTTTTTTCGTCACCCATATCAAGAGCCACATGTGAAAAGGGCATACAAGCTTTTTGTAAACAAACCTTTTCTCGCCAACCGAGGGTCGCCTACGCAAACCAGCAATTTCATCAGGAAAGGGAAAGTTTCCCCTACTCAGTGATGTTAAAGGTTTGCGTTGGTGTCATATGGGTGACGAAAAAAGAGTATAAGAATGTTTGTTTACAAAAAGCTTGTATGCCCTTTTCACATGTTGTGCTTGATATGACACCAACGCAAACCTTTAACATCACTGAGTAGGGGAAACTTTCCCCTTCCTGATGAAATTGCTGGTTTGCGTAGGCGACCCTCGGTTGGCGAGAAAAGGGCCTACAAAGGTTTGTTTACAAAAAGCTTGTATGCCCTTTTCACATGTGGCTCTTGATATGATTATACTCAACGTTGGGTTCCCACACTTTACTACCCCTGTTGGGTGGTTCTGCTCCTCCGTTTTTGACAACATTAGTATAGGAGAAAAGGAGACAAACTAGTCAAAAGTAGGTAAAAGTGAACTGGCCGTTGGGTACTTTTTTCTTACCGTGTAAAAAGGCAGGAAAACCGGCGCGCCGTCGCAAATCAACCCATTTCAACTGTCAAAACTGTTGCGCAAGAATGGGAAACCATATATCAAGCACAGCATGTTGAGCATTAGTAGAAACGAGATAGTATCACATATGTTTTGGTGTGCAAAAACAACAACATCTTCAGCCAGGGCCCGCTTCGTTCGGTTGGTTGACTCGTCTGACTGCTCATCCTTTTTGTGTTCGTCTGTCGGCCGCGGTCATCATCCATACGTCGTTGTGCGGAAAAAATCGTGTTACGCGTTTCTGGTCTTCTCCTGTGGTGCGTGCGTTTTGAGTGTGAAATCACGAGCGATTCTCAGTTAAGCTGAATTCGAGGCCGAATTTCGGGAAACCATACGCGGATTTCCTTAATATCAATGGTCACGGGAATCCTTGTTGGTGTGGTTGAATGTCAGTTTTTCTCCTCGGTGCAGTGAAAGGGAAAATCGGTGTGTTTGTCAGGAGAGCGAGAAGCTATTACACGAGGCAAGGCAACGGGATCAAAATTTTGATCATCCAGTAAAAGAAATCGGGAAAATAGTGTGTATGTTGGAAGAAGCTACGTAAGTTGATTGCATTTATTTCTGACAAGAGAATCGAGAGACGAATCTGCTTGTCTGGTTACTATTGGATTTCCCAACGTGAGTCGAACTTTTCTCTACTAAAACGCGGCGCGGTTTGACCGTGAAAAGAGGAAGAAGACCGACGGTCCGAGTGGAAAAAAAACAATAAACTCCAGCTAAATTTGCTAGTAGACGCATATTCCAGCAAGCATAAATTCATCATCTCAGTTCTAGTGCTCAAGTAAGTGGTATTTCACATATTTTGTTGAGAATGTTTGGCCGTATTACATCAATAAAATGGGAAACGTGTCTCGGATTGGTTCTTCATTTTGACAGCGCAACGACGTAAAAAAGTGCAACATGAATGACGAGAATGCGCGTACATGAATACACACATACTATGGGAAACAGTGTTGTCAATAATTATGAGGAAAATGCCGATGAATTAAATTTAATTCATCTCCTTAGGGCACCTTCCTTGCACAACTACACTCACGAAATTCCACACATTTTTATTAACGAATTTCCATGAGAAACTCCACATGATTTTCATGTGACCACACATAAACAGTTTTGCTCCGATCAACAACATGAGCATCCTAGTAATAGTTAACGTTTGACAGGTTTTCGCTAGAAAATAACATTCAGGAATCATGTGAAATAGAAACATAAATTCTTTTAGCAACAGTTACGTGTATTGTTGGCCCCGTAACGTGGGTAGATCACCTTTTCGTGGTACGTTACGGGATGTAAGATCTACCACCGATTCCTAGTCCTGACTACTTCAAACTAGGAGAACAGGATTTTCAGTAATCCAAGGAACGCATCTTTGTCCTTTTTACTTTTTTTAAGCCTTGTTGATAGTGACAAGACTCGGCTTTGTCTACGGAGGATGATCTTGAAACAAGGAAAAAAAAGAGTTAGTTGTCTTCATCTATGTGATTCCTAATCTTCTATTCGTTGTTCCCTAGTTTGAAGTGGTTAAGACTAGGGTTCTGATGCATGGTCATTATCGGTGTCATACCTTAATTTTGTTGCTAAGGAATCCAATTTTGACTGACAAAGGGGCGCGCCTTTGGAGGGTGTTTCAACACTCCGAAGGGTATAAATAGCGGGACCTTTCCATTAGAGTCGGATTCTTGCGATAAAGGCAAGAGTGGCTACTGTAAAAAAAATCGAATACTTCATCATTTCTCAATAGTGATGGAGTAGTACGACATGCACTTAACTAAGGACACGGGATATACTACAATAGATCAATTTACTGGTCGCAGTAGTGTTGATTGATTGATGATGACCCCCGTACATGGGAATTTGTTTGGGTTTATTTACCTATTTAGATAATTGTAAAAAAAAATCAATTTGAATTTAGTCATTGCATTTGCATTTTTGTATTCCCGTATTTAGTCATTGCATTTGCATTTTTGTATTCCCGTCCATCATTGTCCTTATTATTTTTTTGCCAATTTTTTTTTTTACATATGATTCCAATATAGGGTTTTACTGCGCCCCAGATCACTTTGCTTCTGTAATACAATGTCAATGTCCTAGACGTTTGTTCTATTTGGTTTCATCATCACCAGTGACTGAAAAATGTCACATATACACTTATTACAACGCTTCACTACATAATATTATCCTTCACAAATGACACACATTTTCTTTTAAAGACGTTCACACTATGTTCTTCTCGTAGGTCCCTAGGTAAAGAGTTGTACAGCTTAACACCTTTGTAAAACAGTGAGTTTTGCGTGGATGCTTTCAAAAATGACGCAACTCGAACATCATCAGCAGATCTTGTCCTATAACTATGAATGTCTCTGCCACGTTCAAGCCGAGATGACAGATACTCTGGTGCAAGTCCATTAGCTATTTTATGCACCAACAACAGGGTTTGATGTTACACGCTGCTTAACGGAGAGCCATTGTAGTGCATCCAACATTTGCCTTACCGATGTTCGCCTGTTGCATCTCAAAATGAGTCTCATTACCTTATTTTGCAATTTCTGAAGATCCATTTGTTGGTTGCTGGCCAGATATATTATCGACGAGCAAAAATCAAAATGCGGTGATATCAGTGCTTTATACAGGTAAACCATACTCCACTGTGTCAACTCATTAGTCGACAAATAACACCGTATTTCTTCGCAATCTTTTTCACTGTATAGTCAATGTAACTTTTGAAACATAGCTTTTCATCAATGATAACACCTAAATACTTAAACTCTTTGACACATTCCAATGGAATTCCATTTATTTTCACATTCACCCATTAATTATTTTCTGGTTTATTGGATATTATCATGTACTTTGTCTTTGCTACGTTTAATTTGAGTTTTTTTATGATTTAACCATTTTGATAGCTTTTCCAGATCACAGTTCAGTTTTTCAGTAGCAGCAATAGCATTGTCGAATGCAATAAATATCACAGTGTCGTCAGCAAATAGCAAATGCAAATGTTTTTTTTTTAACTCTTTATTTGTTCCAAATTCAAAATAAATTACATTTCATTTTTAACCTAGGTGCTCCAGTTACTGCAGTAACGTACCAGCCTTAATTGTTATGATATATATCTAAGTGTTTTTACCTTGTTCATGTATTGGAAATTAAGTATTTTAAACAGGTTTTTTAACCTGCATGTCAGTATAACAATTGATATCTTAAAACTAAAAACTAAAACTAAATCTTATCTAAGTATAAAGGGAATTAATCGTTGCAATTGAGGATTGTAACAATTTTTGCCTGAAATTATTAATTATTTTGTTGGACATTTGTTCTAAAGTCTCAACATTCGAAATTCTATGTACCTCGGTAGTACTGTACCAGGGAGGCAACTTCAAAATCATTTTCAGAACTTTGTTCTGAATCCTTTGAAGTGCTTTTTTCCTGGTAGTGCAACAACTAGACCATATTGGCACAGCGTAAAGCATGGCCGGTCTAAAAACTTGTTTAAATATTAGAAGTTTATTCGTCAGGCAAAGTTTGGATTTCCTGTTTATAAGAGGATACAAACATTTAATATATTTGTTACATTTAGCTTGAATGCCCTCAATGTGATCTTTAAAAGTTAATTTTTGGTCAAGTATTAATCCAAGATATTTCACTTGGTTTGACCAGGAAATTGGAACTCCGTTCATAGTGACTATACGACTACTACTAGGTTTCAAAAACGAAGCTCTAGGCTTGTGTGGAAATATTATAAGTTGAGTTTTGGAAGCGTTGGGAGAAATCTTCCATTTTTGTAAATAAGAAGAGAAAATATCTAAACTTTTCTGCAGTCTGCTGCAAATAACACGAAGACTTTTTCCTTTAGCGGAAATGCCTGTGTCATCAGCGAACAAAGATTTGTGGCAACCCTGAGGCAAATCAGGGAGGTCCGAAGTGAAAATGTTATACAATATAGGCCCAAGAATGCTACCCTGAGGAACTCCTGCACTAACAGGTAGTCGATTGGAATTGGAATTTTAGTAATTTACCTGCAGAGTTCTGTCAGTTAAATAATTTTGAACTAATTTCATAATATAAAGTGGAAAATTAAACTTTTTCAATTTAGCAATCAAACCTTCATGCCAAACACTGTCGAATGCTTTTTCTATGTCTAGAAGAGCAACTCCAGTTGAGTGGCCTTCAGATTTGTTTGAACGAATTAAATTGGTAACTCTTAAGAGTTGATGAGTAGTTGAATGCCCATGGCGAAATCCAAACTGCTCATCTGCAAAAATTGAGTTCGTATTGATGATGTGAAGCATCATTCTATTTAAAATTATCTTTTCAAAAAGTTTACTTATTGAAGAAAGCAAACTTATTGGACGGTAGCTAGAAGCTTCAGCTGGATTTTTATCCGGCTTCAAAATTGGAACAACTTTTGCATTTTTCCATTTATCAGGAAAGTATGCCAAATGGAAACATCTGTTAAATAATTTGACCAAGAAAGACAAGGTACTATCTGGGAGTTTTTTGATGAGGATATAGAAAATTCCATCATCACCTGGAGCTTTCATATTTTGAAACTTTTTAGTTATAGACCTTACTTCGTCCAAATCAGTCCCCCAGCAATCATCAAAAATATTTTCCCGAGAGAAAATATTCAGATAATCCCGAGCAACATGATTCTCAATAGGACTAGTAAGACCCAAACTGAAATTATGGGAACTCTCGAATTGCTTAGCAAGTTTCTGAGCTTTTTCCAAATTTGTGATCAAAATTTTACCACCTTGTTTAAGCGCTGGAATAGGCTTTTGAGATTTTTTTCAAAATTTTTGTGAGTTTCCAAAAAGGTTTGGAACTCGGGTCTAATTTAGAAATATTATTTTCAAAAGTTTTGTTCCTCAGGGCAGAGAATCGCTTTTTAATTTGTTTTTGCAAATCCCGCCAGATAACCTTCATGGCAGGATCGCGTGTTCTTTGATATTGTCTCCTACGGACATTTTTAAGACAGATCAAGAGCTGAAGATCGTCGTCTATTATAATTGAATCGAATTTAACCTCGCATTTTGGTACTGAGGCAGCTCTTGCTTCAACTATAGAAGTAGTCAGAGATTCAAGAGCATAATTAATTTCATCTTTCGTTTGCAAAGGAATGTTTGGATCGAAGTTATATTCCATAAATGTTCGATACTGCTCCCAATCAGCTCTATGGTAATTGAAAATAGAACTGTTGGGATTACAAATTATTTCTTGGGATATTTCAAAAGCTACTGGAAGGTGATCAGAACCGAAGTCAGCATGGGTAACCAATTGGCTACAAAGTTGACATGAATCAGTTAAGACCAAATCAATAGTGGAGGGATTTCTTGCAGAAGAAAAGCATGTTGGGCTTTTTGGATATTGAATAGTGTAATAACCTGCAGAACAATCAGCAAACAGAATATTACCATTGGAATTGCTTTGAGCATTATTCCATGAGCGGTGTTTTGCATTAAAATCACCAATAATGTAGAATTTAGACCTATGACGGGTAAGTTTCTGGAGGTTTTTTTTTTTTTTTTCTTTATTTTTGTGATTTTTAGCCGTAGGCTAGTTCATCACATAGTTTCTGGAGGTCACCCTTGAGAAAATTCTTTTGCTGGCCTACGCATTGGAATGGCAAATAGGCAGCTATAACGTAAGTTGTCCAAATTTTGTTTCAACAGAAACTCCCAAAGTTTCAAAAACTTTGGTGTCAAATGAAGAAAGAATTTTATGTTTGATTCGTCTATGAATAATGATGGCAACGCCACCACAGGGTCCATCAAGACGATC